TATAATGATACACAGAGGCTGAGGACTAGCTTTGCAGTTGCTTATTAAATTGATGGCCCTCAGATTGAATTGGATATCAATGTATCTCTAGAAATATAAATATTTGTGAGTGTCTTTTTTAAGTCACAGCAGATAGGTAGACTTTCCCTCCTCCTCATCCATTCAAAATAATATACACTGATGACTCTGATGCATTTCTGATTCAAACTATGAGTTTGAATAAGTCTCAGTCTCACTGGAATCAAAACATTTTTAAAAGATTTTAACTTTTTATAGCAGTTTAAAACTCACAACATAATTAAGAGGAAGGTACAGATTTCCATATATCCCCCGCCCCACACTTGCATAGCCTCTACATTATCAATAGCCCCACCAGAATGGTACCTTTGTTACAACTGACACATCATTATCACCCAGAGTCCATAGTTTAAATAAGGTTCACTATTGGTATTGTGCATTGTTTGGGTTGGACAAATGTTTAAAGACATGTATCCATCATTCTAGTATCATACAGAATAGTTTTACTGCCCTAAAAATCCTCTCTGTATTCTACCTATTCATCACTCTTCCCACCCACCCCATCCCCAATCTCTAGCAACCACTATCTTTTTACTGTCTCCATAGGTTTGCTTTTTCCAGAATGTCATATAGTTGGAATCACATAGTATGGACATTTTTCACATTGGCTCCTTTCACTTTGTATTAATAATATGCATTTAAGGTTCTTCCTTGTGTTTTCATAACTTGATAGCTCTTTTTTTTTTTAGTGCTGAATAATACTCCATTGTCTGGATGCATCACGGCTTATTTATTCACCTACTGAAAGATATCGTTGTTGCTTTCAAGCTTTCATATTCTGCCTATATGAATAAAGCTGTTATAAACATCCATGTGCAGGTTTTTGTGGAGATAGTTTGTAAGGCACCCTCCCTCCATTACAAATCAAATCTGAAACTGAAACTACATCTCTCCCCAAAATATAAAGGCCAGGGCACACCCTTCTCAGGCACTAATGTCAGAGACAGCCTGGGACCGAATCACGAAGGATCTGCAGGAAACCAGGTAACAGATGGCTCTAAATTGTGTTCTCGGAAGGGGAAGGGTCTCTGAATGTGAGGAAACTAGAAAGGTCTGAGGAGAGATTGGTGTTTGGTGGGGCTGGGAGAAGATCTGAAGTTTGGGGCGATTGCCATAATGGAGGTTATGTCAAAAGCCAAAGCCACAAAGTCAGTTCTATGTAGGGAGANCATATGAAAAAATGTTCAACCTCACTAATCATTAGAGAAATGCAAATAAAACCCACAATGAGATACCACCTCACTCCGGTCAGAATGGCTATCATCAATAAATCAACAAACAACAAGTGCTGGTGAGGCTGTGGAGAAAAGGGAACCCTGGTGCACTGTCGGTGGGACTGCAGATTGGTGCAGCCTTTATAGAAATCAGTATGGAGGTATCTCAAAAAACTGAAAATTGAACTACCTTATGACCCAGCAATTCCACTCTTAGGTATCTATCCAGAGAAACCCAAGACACTAATTTGAAAAAAAATATGCACCCCTATGTTCATTGCAGAGCTATTTACAATAGCCAAGACTTGGAAACAACCAAAATGCCCATCGGTAGACGACTGGGTTAAGAAACTGTGGTAAGCCTATGGCCATACCACCCTGAACGCGCCCAATCTTGTCTGATCTCAGAAACTGTGGTACATTTATACGATGGAGCATTACTCAGCTATAAAGAAGAATGAAATCTTAACATTTGGAAAGATATGGATGGACCTAGAGAACATTATGCTAAGTGAAATAAGTCAGCTGGAGAAAGAGAAATACCATATGATCTCACTTATATGTGGAATCTAAAGAGCTGAATAAATGAGCAAAGTAAACAGAAATAGCCTCAGAGACATAGAGGAAAAACTGACGGTTGCTAGTTGGGAGAGGGGTGGGGATGAAGGAGAAGGGGAAGGGACGAGACAACATAAATTAGTAACTACAATATTGCCACAGGGATATGAAACAGAGATTGGAGACTATAATCAATAATGTTGTAAATATTTCTTAGGGTGTCAGATGGACACATGTCTTGTTAGGGAGACACTAGTTGGATGGTGTAGATGCCTGACCACTGCACTGTACATCTGAAGCTGCCATTGAATAATATTGTATGTCTACTATAATTTAATATATATATAGTCATGGCATGTGGAGTACAGTGTGGGGAGTGGAGTCAATGGAATTGTAATAGATATGTATATCGGGGGTGGGGGGGCGATGGATTGGGGAGGGGGTTGTCACTTTGTGACGGGTGAAAAGTATAACTATTGCATTGTTTTGTACACCTGAAACTAATTTTTAAAAATATGTATACATTTTTTTGGCATGCTCTGCATTTATCCTCTAGGGGCGGTAGTCCCCTGTCCTGGGGACAAACAACCTTCTCTGGACCAGAATTTTGCCTTTTGGAATCTCCAGAGAAAACTTCCTTCGCTGTACCTTAATTCAAAAAGAATGAAAACACTTCAGCTTTGAAATCAGATAAAATTCTAACCCAGAAACTAGAAACATTCATTCCAGGAGACAGAAACACAAGAGCTCTTCTTTCTGCTCTGATTGCTGTCAGGATTATAGGTAACACTCCACCTGTATTCTCTGGATTCATACCCATGAACATCAGGCAAAAGCTGTAAAACAATAATCCACAACAACAGGAAACAGAAACTGCAGATTTTCACTTCATGGTGCTCTATAGATGCTTTTAAGCAGTTCCAATTTGATTTCCTTATTTTGAACTTACTAGAAACCGGTCTTAGAAACAAGCAGGTACCCCATTGAGACTCAAATGGATTGTCATTGCCTGAGTTCCTTCTGAAAACAGAGCCCAAGACAGGGACTTGCATGAATTAGATTTATTTGGGAGGTGATCCCAGGGTGCAGGAGTAAGAAACTGGCAGGTTGACCAACCAACCCTGTTGGCTGGGAACTGAGGTGTTCCCCAAGATGTGAGACTTTCAGTGCTAAAATCAGGTAAGTCCCAAGTAAATTGGGATGAGTTGGTAACTATAGAAAATGGAGAACTAGTCCAAGAGAGGGAGGGAAAGCCAGCGCAAGGCTGAACTGATGAGTTGGTTTGATCCCACAGCACCATCTGAGGTGCCTAAGAATTGGGGAGCATTTATTCCCTGGTTCTCATACCCTATTAGTCAAGTATTGCCCCTTGGGGTGTTAATTCCTTCCACATTCAGAGCTCACATGCATGAGTGCCTGTGAGTTCCAGAGGCATTTCCCACTGTGGCTTCGAACCCTGGGCAGAAAGTGAGAGAAACACAATGCAGCTGAGGCCCAGCGCTGTTGGTTATGCCTACATAGATCTGGTTGCTGTAGCAAAGGCTAACGTCAAAATTGGACTGACGGCTTGAGGTGAGGCACAAGAAGTGTCCAATACATGACGATTAATTTTGCCTCCCTTTGGTTGGCTCATATTTGAGCTCCACATGGAGTCACCAACGTCTGCTCTTAGCTCCCCTTTAGTTTATTCATTTAAATGAGGTGAAACTCTCAAACTTTGT